AAAATTATATATAATTTTTAAAATATTCTTTTCTCATTAAAATAAATACAAAATCATATAAATTAAATAATTTATTATTTTTTCTTTATTCAACGAAGTAATATTTAACATAATACATTAGAGAACAACTCATCCACGAATTCAAGCACATAAGATATTTTACAGAATCATTTTCCAATCTGTTCTTGTGTTTTCTGATGGTCAAAGATTTTTCATTTTAATAATTTTAATAATTTTATAATTGTCAATAAAATTAGTTAAATATTTGATAAAACTAAAATTTGTAAACTAATAAAAATATTAAATTAGGAAAAAAGTATGTAAAATTTGACATTCAAATTGAAACATTTTTATAAAATACTTTTGAGAAGCTCCTTTTGCTTACTCATCATCTAAATCTATCTGATCATGTATTCTTTTCCTGCTTTCAGTTTTGTTCGTATCTTCTGAAATTTTACTTTTCACAATTAACTTCCTTTCTTATTTTAAAAAATCGATGAAAAACAGGTATTTTATTATTATAATAAAAAATATATACGTTTGATCGAGATTTCGAAATAACATTCGAACGATCAAAGTCAATCATAAACAAAAGAAAATCACGCTTCTTGGCTTGATAAAATGTATCAATATTCAAGCATATGCAGTCGATATCGAGCAATTATTGGATTGACATGCAACACTAGTGGGTCATTTAAATCTTTATGCAATTTTCATTAAACTTTGCAATTAAATATTCCCAAGATTTCAATGAAATCTTTACGAAATTTTTAGTAAAGATTGGCTGCTGTGGGGGTAGGAATATATAAATATGGAATATATTTTTGTTTATTAATATATGCCTAAATATTATTATACGTATTATTATACTATATTTATACTTGTCAATATTTTATAATATTTAGGTATATATTAATAAACAAAAATATATTCCATATTTATATATTCCTAAATATTAAAAATTATAGACACGTATAATGAGTATATTAATATGTATAATAATACGTATATACGTATATTTATACGTATTATTATACGTATATTTATACGTATTATTATACGTATAATTATACGTGTTTTTTTTACTAGGGTGATGTCGAATTTAATAATAATAATATAAATTTTCAGAAATTTTAAATGGTGGCTAAAAATTGTTTATTCAGATTTATTTAAAACTCACCACTAGGATGTTTTAGAGGGCGCTGATGTCGAATATAATAATATTATTCAAAAATTTAAAATGGCGGCCCAAAAGTAGTTGTTTTAGATTATTCTAAAAATCATTATTCAGAGGTATAGAGGGTGCAGTGATAAAATTTAATCATTTTCAAAATGGCGGCCAAAAATTGTTTTTTAAGGGTTCTTTAAAACTCACAACTCGGGGATTTTAGAGGGCGTTGATGTCAAATTTAATAATAATTATTATTATAATTATTATTATAATAATTATTATCCAAATTTATTTCCGAAAATTGCGCCGTTAATGTTGGGGAAAAATAAAAGAAAGCGCAATAAGGGAAAAATAAATTTGTTTAATTTTACTTTTATTTAATAAATATTATAAAACATTTATAATAAACTTACCTTATAAAATTCACTGAAAACTTGCATTTTAATTTTACAGGAAATTTGTCTATATATCTTTAGAGTACTTTCCGGAGATAGTTTTAAAGAAATTCACAAAGCAAATTTCTGTAAAACTCAAAATTTAATATTTCCTAAACTTTTATCCACAATTTTTCGGCAAACTTAATCGGATAACTATCATGAACTTCGCACCGCGAGTTATAAAACCGAGGACATATAGAGCTCGCCTGAACTTCCCCTGAAGCTCCCCAACTTAGTTTCCGAACTTAACACGGGGAACTCCCCGCGAACTCCCTGCGAAAAACGGTGCTGTCTGGGAATACTTCGAGGTTAAATTACTCACCCCTAGGGCTAAACTATATATGTGCAAGTTACAGCCCGATCCGATCAACTTTTTTTTCACTTAGTTTACTACAGGAATTTTACCCCATATGTATATGTATATATACAGTAAGTGTACCATACACAAATAATGAATGTCAATGAAAGTAAATTTAAAAAAAAGTCAGATGGGATCATAAGCAGCAGTCCACAGAAAACGATGAACGCGGTCTTCGGCCGCGTAGAGTACTTTTCTTGCGTATTTTAAAGATACCTTGGGGAGGGGAGGGCGGACATGGCCGAATGTATTCTACGGACAAAGTCGGTGGGATACACAGTAGCAGTTTACACAATCTCATGACGCGGCCTTCGGCCGCGTAAAGTTTTTTTCTTTACGTGTTTTGCAGACACCTTGAATTGAGGGGGTGGATATGGCAGAAAGTATTCTGCGGATGAAGTCGGTGGGATCCACAGTAGCAGTTTATGCAATTTGATGACGCAGTTATTTACTTACAAGTCTTAATTTTTCCGCTAGTTATGATGTGAACTGTTTTTCCGGCATTTTTCATGATGTTTTATGGTTTTTTATCATTTTCTTGAAAAATTACGACTTTTGGTAAAAAATGCATAAAACATAAAATGTGTGTTTTTTGAAACCTACAACTTTTATTTAAAACATTTTTTGAAATTTTGCATTTTTACCTCACCGCCCTTTATACCTCTGAATGATGATTTTTAGAAAAATCTGACAAAACTATTTTTGGGCCGCCATTTTTAAGTTTTAAAAATTATTATTATTAAATTTGACGTCAGCGCTCTCTAAAACCTAAGAATGATAAATTTTAAAGAAATCTGACAATCATTTTTTTCTTTCGATTATATGTTTTGAGAAAATCTTATTGTTAGAACATTTATTTTTGTTACTTTTATTTTAATTAATTTCTGTCAAAAATATTAATTTTTAATCATATTTTATTATTTAAAGGTTAAAAATAACAAAAAACCTAGAGCGTCCGCGATCAGACGCGAATTGGACGCATTGGCGTCCGATCTGCGTTCAACAATTCCGCCAGGGTATTGTGTTATTTGGAATATAAATAGAAATTTAAATCAATTACACTTAAAAAGAATTAAAAAATATCACTAAAACATTCAATTAATAATTTATTTACAGCATTCTGTGCATGCTAAATAAGTATTATTTAAAATGGACAAATATTAAAATTGAAGATTAACATGAGAATGCACGGAAAAAAATTTCTTGTAGCGAAAACACTACAAATTTCAGAAAAGGCACACGCAAAGAAAGTTTGTAGCAATATTTGATATTATGGTGTTACTTTTTAGTATATTTGGTTACAATTGCGGAACATTTTGGCATGATAACGATTTTCGATACTATTTTTAAGAATGATTGAGATTAAAATAAGAATATTTAATATAGTTGGAAAAAAAATTTGATATAATATTTACGAAATCTGAAATCTTTTTATTGAAACACAAAAATGTCAAATTTTAATAAGCTCTTTATCAATTTTTCTAACCAAATATTTCAAATTTCGTAATTAGAATTGTATAAAATGATATAATTATTTCAGATTTTGATATGTTTGATATGAAAATTGAAAAAGAAATATCAAAGTTAACGAGATTCGACGAAATTTGCCGAAGTTGAACGTTCGGAATTGCCCGATCCTCACCGAGTGGTAACGAAGACTGACGAAGCTCTTTAGACAAGCCCCTTTTTACTATTATCTTGATACAGACCTGAATTTCTTTTATATAATTAATTTCGAAGATTTTACAATAAATCAGTAAAAAAAATTGTTCTTTAAAAAATAATAAAATATTTAATTATTTCCCAATAAATAATGATTTTTATTTATATTTTTAAACATGTTTTGATATAATTTCACCTTTCTCATAAGCGGTGAAAAATATGTCTGGTTAGTATATAAGAATGGTCACATGAGCGTAAATTTGTATATGAAGCGTTATTCTGCGAATGTTATACGTATTATCGTTAGTATAGGTTAGGAATAAAAATAAGCCAATCGATGTAAAACAATGCGGTGTATGTGTGTGTGTGCATTTAAAAGTTCATATCCTCGTCTATCCTCGAGATTAGATGAGAAAGAAATAAAACTTTGGCGTAGAATCTATTGGTGTTTCTGTCGTCATCTGTCACGACTGAACCACTTCGAATTTTTAGTATAGTTTTAACAAATTTCGAAATAATCTTTCCAAATTTTCATATAAATTTAGTAAATAACGAAGTGCGCGTCGGTTTAACTTACTTCTGGTTTTTCGTATAAATTTATCAATTTACGAAATAATAATTTCAATTTCTGGAATATATTTACTAAAAAGACTATTGGTAAAAATATACCGATTTTCGTTATGAAACCCAAATGTTCCGCGTTTGAATAAGAGAATACTAAAATTTCCTATCAGATTTATCAAATATTGCTACTAAATTTCTTTCCGTGCAATTCTATAAATTTTTATGTAGACTATAAGAAAATTGTGTTTCAAACACATTAATTGGGAACAGCACAATCCAATTTGCGTTAGTACAGAGACATAGCGCATGCGCAACGAATTGTATTATGACACACTCTATGAAATTTATTTGTTTCACAAAACTCAGCGTTTTGTGAATACTCCAACCGGGTTTTATAGATGGCGCTAAAGATCCTGTTAATAACACTAGAAATTTTTTTCCGTGTGGTCACCTTCATAATTATGAATAAATAAATATTTGCTAATTATCTAATTTTATTGACTGAAGTTTGTAAACTAAGAATTACAAAAAATGATAACAGTATAATAAGAAAAACAAAAAACATAGACAAACAAAAGAATATATTATAATTAACATTTAATTAATTTCATACAATAAAAGCAATTGCTTTTGTTATAAAGAAATAAAATTTTTTAATATAATTATATATTTTAAATTGCACCATTAACATTAAGAAAGTAGTATTAGAGAATGCATCACAATATCTTAATAACAGATATAAACTTTATTATCCTAGTACATAGGTATATTTTAAAAATATGAAATAAAAATTTAACAACAAACTTACCTTATGTTTATAAAATAAATAAATACTTAATAAACCGAAGTTGTCTCTGCACTGCTCAGGAAATATTCAGAATATTTTTGGTTTTATGTGAGATAAAATAAAAAGTCCACACTTTTGTTTTCACTCAAACATAGAATGAATAAACTTTTTTTAATAATTGTAATGCATATTATTTAATATAATGTAAGCAAACACAAGTAGGAAAATTTTCAAAGATTGTTTTTATCAGTTTGTATTTTTGGTTTCCTGTACATAGTTTGAAAGTTGAAGTAGAGAACGTGTCTGTATCGTGTCTTAAGCTTCACTGATCTAATTTTGGAATAGAACGGAAATCACAAACTCTATGCTATTTAGTAATATCACATGCAGTAAAATTGAAAACTAAATGTATGGTTGTTTTCTAAAGACAAATTATAACATTTAACATTTTAAAAAAGTAAAATAAGTTGTCTTTTTCTGAAAAGTTGACGAAGTTTTTAAAAAAAATGGAAAACACATTTTGTCAAATTTTAAGTAAATTTATAATAATGATAATCATTAACTCATTTAATTGTACTTGAGTCTTATATTTTTTTTGCATTTTTTCTTGAAATATTTAAATAAAATGTGACAGTACGCTATGTGGTTATTTAATTTATGATATTTATATAATATATAATATAATACTATAATATATATTATATAGTGTTTGAATATTGTTGATATGTTGAATAACATTTTTATTTTTCATGCAATTTGGAAATAATATTGAATTTGTTTTCTTAATTTATTGTTTGAAAATAATACAAGGTAGAAGAATGTATCCATAAGTAGACCACCTTTCCGATTTTCATGAAATAAAAAGCGAAATATTAAACTATTGATGTTAACTAATAAATAACACCATGAAAGCATTTTTAGTGTGATACCCAAGTAAATCGACGCATTTTTGTGTTTAATACACCCAAGAAGCACGTAATATATCCTCAATATCAAGGTAATATTACACGTGAGATTCGTAATATAACGCTGTAATATTACAGTAATCTTACAGTGATCTTAAAATGTCCGCCTCAAGGTAATATTACCGGGAATATTACTGTAATATTAACGGTAATATTACAGTAATATTAACGGTAATATTACAGTAATATTACAGTAATATTACAGACTGATTTGAGTTATTCATAAAGCATAAAAAACGTAAATATATTATAAGTCAATTTGGCTTGTTGGTAAAACTCTGGACTCGTGTGCTTTGAGTTCGGGGTTCGATTCCCTGGATGGGTAGATTTTTTTCGTAAAGAAATGTTCCCATAATATTACTGTAATATTCTCTTGTAATATTACCTTAATATTACTGCAATATTACTGTAATATTACCTTAATATTAGCGCGTAATATTACAGTAACATTACCGGTAATATTACCTTGAGGCGGACATTTTAAGATCACTGTAAGATTACTGTAATATTACAACGTTATATTACGAATCTTACATGTAATATTACCTTGATATTGAGGTTATATTACGTGCTTCTTGGGCAACCACACGAAAAAAATGGTGTTAAAAAATGTCTTGAAAAGGTTTTTCATTTGCAATTTAAATGCACTTATATTTTTGTTTGTTTGAATGTTCAAAGTGTTTATAGTAAATAAATATTCTATAAGTTTTAAAATCCTTCAATGTTTATTTGATTTTTAATCATTTCCCTGGCGATTTTTAGTTACCAAAAGGGTCAGACCATTAAATTTCGAATAAAGTCTTTGCGGCCGAATTTTAGAAAAAATTTATTTTTTCAGAAATGATTCTATAGGGGAGACTGGGGCAAACCGGCCATGTTAACAGTTGTAAGGCTCTAGTAACTGAAGAAACTAATGAAAAACGTTTTATAATAGCTTGTTGGAAAGGTCATCTAATTGCGCAACTTTTTCCTAGAGAAATTTCATTTCAGGAATCATTTCAGGAGTCATTTCAGGAAAAACGCGTTTAAAGTTTTGACATGAAAACTTATAAAACAAGAAGGGGGTCCTTTATGTTTATTTCATAAACATTATGCTTCCTCATTATGTGAAGCAAAAAATTCGCTTCCTCGTGAAGGAAGCAATGAATTTGTCCAATTCAATTGATTGATTTAAAAAATTTCGAGTTAAAAATGTTTTAAATTAATTAAATTTTTTGAAAAATAAAGAAAATTTTAATTAATTTTGAGTGTAACATAAACTTTATATATACGAATCGATTCGTTTTAATGCAAGGAATACAATTATTTTATTCATCAACTTGAATTTTAAAAAAACACAAAATTTTTTAGCTAAAATATGAATTTTCGATTTTTCAATTTTTATTAATTCTCAAATTTTCAATCAAATCTATACTTTATATATACCAACCAATTCGTTTCAATGCAGGAAATAAAATTATTTCATATATAAACATGAATTTAAATAAACACATCATTTTTTAGCTAAAATGAGAATTTTTGATTTTTTAACTTTCATTAATTCTTTAAATTTCAATCAAATCTATATTTTATATATATCAATCGATTCATCTTGACATAAAGAAGACGATTATATTATATATTACCTTAAATTTTTCGATTTAAAAATTTTTTCAATTAAAAAAAAATTTTTGGAAAAAAGACGATAAAATTTTTTTTTTGGGTATTTTTAAGAATCCTCTCGTCATTTTTGAGAGATTAATGTGTTAAATAAGCCTTCCAAATTTTTTCCCAAATCCATTAAAACCTGTTAAAGATATCGTGTTCACAAAAACTATCCACACACACATACACACACACACACACACACATACATACATACATACATCCGGACAATTGATCAGGATCTCATATAACATGTTTCTATATAGAGGAAAATTTGTTTTCACCATTTTTAAAAATTTTATAAACGAAAGGACTACATAGCTTCCTCCACGAGGAAGCAAAATGCATCAATTTTAAAAGATTTTTTTCAAAATGTGTGTTTTTAAACGTACTTTTCAAAAAAAAATCGAAACTTTTTTCTAAACGATATTACTATCAAATTTTTGAGTTTTAATTAATTTATTTATTTATTTAATACAAACGGGCAATAACAACTTTGTCCAATCGTACAAAGTACTAATTAACATAAAAGGAAATAACAATAATCAATTGGCCGCATTAATATTATTGTCGTCGATAAATACTAGATTGCCTAATTCTTTAGAAAATACATTGAACGAAACTCCAAAAAAATTTAAATCATTGTTATATTGATTTGCCTCACGAATAAGTCTATGAATTACCGAGATACTCATATAATTAGTTCTGGCAAATGGCAATTTAAATAAAGGAACATTTCTTAAAATGTTAAAATGTTAAACTTAAAATAAAAAGTCATTTTTCTCATTTGACGTACTGATCGATTTTTTTCAAAAAAACTACTTTTTTTACGAAACTTTTAAGCCTAGCCCGATAATAAGCAAACTATTTTTACAATATTTTCGGAATTTTTCAAAAAATTTTGAGTTTTGAATTTTTAAAAATATTTTTGGTTTTCTTTATAATTAATAATGTACTTTTATGTCTTTTGATGCGCTGATTACGAAAATCATAGTGACAATACATTTTTTATATCTGATGCATTTTTTTTAATGTTGCATATTTTACACAATAAACGAAAAAAACCATAAATTTTCGAACTTTCTTATGGTTTTCACCATAAAAATCAAAGTTTTGAGTACTGTCGTCACTATGATTTTCGTAATTAGCGCATCAAAATACATAAAAGTACGTAGTATAAAAAAACAAAAATATTTTTAAAAAATTCAAAACTCAAAATTTTTTTGAAAAATTCCGAAAATATTGTAAAAATAGTTTGCCTATTATCGGGCTAGGCTCAAAAGTTTCGTAAAAAAGTAGTTTTCTTGAAAAAAACTAGAAAAAATCGATCAGTACGTCAAATTAGAAAAATGACTTTTCAGATTTAATTAACATTATAATTAATTTTAGTTTAAATAAACAATAAATATTAAGTTGAAAGTTTGCGATCTAATAATTTTTTCGAACTTTGCACATTAATATCTTCGTTAAAGAAAAATTAAATAAATTGGCACTTTCACAACTTTTAAATTACACCGAAATTTACACGTACCGAAAGTTCCGTTTTGGTCCCGAGTCTAGTTTAAGAGATATAAATGTTTAAAATTTTCACTTTTTTCAGGTTAAAACTGTGTATTTTCTTCTAACTTCAAGTTGTGTTTTTCTCGTGAACCACGTTTCGATCACAGTATTCAAATTTAAAACTTTTTTAAATGTTTATTTTTGGTTAATAATTTCCAAAATATATTAAATAATAATTTATTAATATATATAATTAATTAATTATACGTTGAATCATTTTTTTATCTATTATTTTTGTATCTTCCAGGGGTATTTTATGATATAAATAAACTGTTATTATTATATTATATTTTTGTATATGATGTCAATTGCACTGGAAAATATATGTATATGCTCATTTCAGAGTTTCATTTTAACCTAATGAAATAAAAGATTGTAATTATTATAAAAATCGTATTCAAAATGAAGTGTTCGATAGGAATAGTTTTGAATGAAATTTCCGAAAATATAACAGGTGGTACAATTGATAAAAGATAAGTTTAACGAAGTCGAAGAATTAATTTTAAAATTAAGAACTGATGACAAAATCACAACAATTTGTCAAAAACACTAATTAAAATATTTGATTAATTATTTAATTCATTTGGAAAGAAATTTTGTGATCCTTTTAATTCTCACGAGAATTCTCACTTTCGTGTAGTATCGAAAATTTACAGGATATAACTTTATCTTTAGCTATCGACGTGAAATGGATGAAATTTATACCTGGTATAGAATATTAATTGATAATTTAATCAAGCAATTAAATAATTATATTAGTAAATTAAAAATTAACTATGTACAGGTAAACGGTTATGTGCAAGATGCAGAAATAAGATTTATCTGAAAATGAAAAAAAAAATCGGACAAGTGTGAGTTACACTCGCACTGAAATCGAGGGTTCCGTACTCGAAGCAAACTTATTTGGTATAAAAACAAATGTTTAACAAATTTGTGTTGTATGTTAAATAATATATGTGATACAAAAAGGAACAATTTTTAATTCATTAATTTTTAATTTAATCATAAAATTTAAGAAAATTGTTCCTCTTTGTATCACTTATATTATTTGAAATACAACACATATTTAAATTTTTTTTTTGTTTTTATACCAAAGGAGGAACAATTTTCTTAAATTTTTTTTTAAAAATTGTTTCTTT